ACCTTTATCTGATTTTAGTTATTTGTGTCTTCTCTCTCATTTTTTTTTTTTTAATTTTTATTTTTAGGAAACCAACCTGACCTAGGATCTCATTTTTAACTTAACGTAGCTACAGGTTTGTCAACTTTGATGATCTTCTAAAGGGTCAACTTTTGCTTTTAGCATGCATTACCTTTTAAATAAAAATATATATGCCTGAGTTGCATTACAAATGAGTTGCCCTCCCCACACTCGTCCTTTCCCCACCACCAAGTGTTTATGGTTTTCCTGCAACACCTATACCAGCTGGGCAAATCCTCCACCAGCCATGCGTGGCCGGGCTCTGTCTCCCTCTGACCATCACTCACTGCCCACCCAGGATGAGTCCAGCCGTGTCCACCAATCAGAATCTCTGCCACATCCCGCTCTGTGGACTTCCTCTCGTGCCATCTGTGCCTGCAAAGAGCACAGTCTGGGTTTCCTGATGTTTGCTATAGCATCGTGGCCCTCCCTGGGACACCTCAGAAGCCACAGTGTTGTAAATGAAACTTCATCCTGCCCCTTCTACTCACTAAGCCCTGGTGAGATGGTGGGGCGTTGGAGGGGGGCGTTGCTGGTGGTGAATGTGAAACCTAACTTCTCCCTCCCCAGAACCAGTCCCCAACCTACTTCTGCCAAGTCCTGGGGCATCTATAAATGCCTTCTAAGTACTCAGTCCTGGCCTGTCCCCAGCCAAGCCTTCCTCCCTAGAGCAATCTACCTCTGAGGCAGCTATACTGAGATCTTTTTTTTTTTTTTTTATGAGATCTTGATCGTAGAGTGGTGTAAAACGTCTGGGCTACAGAAGAACACAGTATTCTCTCCTTGCTAAAGGGCTCAAACGAATCTTTTCAAGTCACTTAAGAGACCTTTTTAGCAAGTAACTGTATTAAAGATCCTGACTTCACTTCCTTTTCTCCAAAGTATATTTTTGGCCTAAAGGTATGGAAACATCTTACCTGTAACCTTTACACTCTAAGCTAATAAAGATTTAAATGACCATTTTGCTGACCTTTTTGTTTCTATTTTTAACCACGCATTCTTGTCTGTTCTTGGTTCACCTGGAGACAATAATAAACTTAGAAGATGGGAGAGCAATTCGCATCTGACCTCTGCCACTTGACATTTCCTTTCTAAGAATCATTCGCAGTAGTTGCTGGGCTTTCTTGCTGTGATTCTGTGCCCTGTTGTGCCACTTTTTTTACTTGGGACAAAAGCAGTGGAGATAGTTTGCATTACTTTTATTATGAAGACATAACCGGAACAAGTGGGAACATACTAACTGCTTTTTCTGTGGGTATCATATTAGTCCAGACCATGTTTAACCCAAACTGAAGATGTGAAATCCTAGAACTCAGTAATCTATTTTAGCGGGTCGCAGGAAGTATGCAAACCATAGAAACCACAAGGAACCCAAACCATCTGTGCTGGCAAGAAGCAAGAATTTCTCCATCTTCTAAAGGTACCAACAGAACAAATCTACCATAGGTGAGTAAAGAAGTTACAAGCGGCACCAGCAAAGGCACTAAAGGCTGTTGATACACCTTTTCTGTCTTCTCCCCCAGAAATTCTCTCCAGCCATGCTTTTCCCACCTTTTCCCTTGGTTTAGTCTTACCAGTCCTGGAGAGGCAGAGAGGTTCTGAGAACAAACCTAACTTCCAACTTCCACGGTCTAACCCCCAATTCAGCTGCTGACCGCCAGAGTGTCAGTCTGGTCACAGCCAGTGTCAGTCTGGGTCTTCTGTTGACCTTCAGGGAGCACGAACTATTTTCATCTCACCGGTTTGCAGAATAACAGAGCTTCTCCTCATCCCTGCCACAGGTCACCTTCAGGTGACCACATCCCGCCTCCTGTGTACTCCTGGTTGGTCGCAGACACACCAGAGCTGGGTGGCTGCCAACGTGCTTTCCCTCAAGTCTACTCGGAGGGCCACGCTCATCTTGCAGACTGGGAGTCTTGGAAATCACAAGCCCGGTGTCACCAGGTAGATATAGAATTCTTAAACTCATGGAAAGGCTTCCCTCCCAACCTTCTCCATGTGTACAAAGGGTTCCAACAGGTACTTATTAAGATTCCCCATGTTCTGACTGTCTATTATAGTTGGACCAGGTGAGAAGAAAGTGACAAGAAAAAAAATCTGTTTGACTTGACGATTGTGTGTTATTTGCCATTCTCCACCAGCTCCACTCTGGCCCCCAGGAAGCCAACACGTATGGGCTGCATGAGCTGGGGCCCACTGCTCCCAGTGGGGGCCCACTGAGTTCAGCCACCGGGAGTCACAGGCAGGAGGTTCTGGTGGGTGGGGGGAAGAGCAAGAGGTGAGGGCACTTTCTGCCCCTGCTGTCCTACTGCTTTGCTGAAGTAGCAGTGGCTGCATCCCTCAACTTGCTACTCTCCACTCCAGCTCACAATGGGGCTCGGAAATAATTGTTTATTTTTTGACCCTTCAAGCTGTAGCGAAGGGAAAAAAATTTTTTTCCTCAACTCTCATAAGTTCTTAGTCAGCATGGACCCCTGTAACAAAAGAAACAGATTATTAATAAGGTGGGAAAAAAAAGAAGTTTGTTAACGTGCATATTTCTTATATCCATAGAAGACACACAGGGAATGAATAATTCTCAGAGCTGGTTTGAACTCCAGCTTATATAGAATCTTCAACAAAGAACAGTAAATTTTTAGAGAAGTAACAAAACAGAGGAAAAGGACTTTGAGTCTCTAGGGACAGCAACTTGTGGGGAGGCCAATAACTGGCAGATAAAGGCCTGATAGTAAAGCTTGTTCACGTAGATTCTCCAGAAACATCTCCGGGTCGATAAGGATTTAAAGTTTCCTCAGTGGTTAAAGTTGTTCTTCCTGGTGGAAGGGGGTGGAGGGACAGCTTTTGTCTTTATGAAATCTGAGTCCTGCTTTTAGACAAACAAAGGAAGGGGCAGAGATCTTTCTGGCATCTGCTTCTTTTTAACTGACTTTAGCTCAACTATTCTTATGCAAAAGAGGCATATTTTGGGGTAGCAAATTCTGGTCTCCTACAAAGCATGGGGTTGACAGCTCCCACTGTCACTGGTCTCTGGGCACCTCACCATCCCTGTCGCTTCTCTTAACCCTGCTCACCCCTCCATAAATTCTCTCATGCTATACAGTCTCTTCAAAGTCTCAGCTGAGTGTACCATCCAGCCCCTGCGGCCAGATAAGCAAAAGATTTGAATCCTGGCTCCACTACTACCTACCTCTCTGCCCTCCTTGTTTATCAAGTTGCAGGGCTGGAGTCCATGATCTCCAGGGTGAGGAGAGAAACGTAAAGTGGTCACAGTCAGTGAGAGCAAAACTCTTGGGTCTTGGTCTTCCCCATCCCGGGTTGAATCAAAGGAACTGGGAGCGAGAGGCCAGCGTCAGGAGATTCAGAAGGGGCAGTGGGCTCAGTGTCACTGGGTGACAGGATGACCTGTCATGTTACCGAAATCTCAGAGAGATCCTTCCGATCCCTGTCTAGAGACACATCAGGGGACAATTGGGGGACTTGCCCTGTTCCTGAGCAAGCAAGGAGCTGTCTTCCAGGGAAACACCCGAGGCCCTTCCTAGCACAAAAACCAGGTCTGGTATAGGACACATGGTTCCAGCTTATGGAAATCTAGAAAGCACGCGTGGACTGCATGGGACACTGGATTGTTGCTCGTGTTAGCTCCAGCATGGCTGCCTCCTTCAGCCGTCAGCTCTCAGCAGGGCTCAGGTGATACTGCTTGTTACCTGTCTAGTGCCTGCTACATGCCAGGCACTGCACTGGCTGCTTTGTGTCCATTTATCCCGCAAAGACCACAGATCTTATTATTCATATGTTATAGTTGGGGAAATGGAAGCTTAGAAAGTTGCCAAGGCCACAGCATGAGCTCTTGATTCCAGGGTCTGCTGAATTCCAGAAAGTGCCAGGGCCCAACTCCTACCTTCTCTGCAGGAGCTTAGGAATGTTCGTAAGTATGATGCCTACATTGCAGAATTTGTGTTTCTTTTAACAAAACTTCTTTCCAAGGAGCTGGACCTATAATAACTGAGGCCTTTGTTGCTAAGCACGTTCCTGACACGAGAGCCCATTTAGCATTCCCTTTTCATTAAAAAGTTTGAAACCCTGTCATTTGCAACAGCAGGAATGAACCTGGAGGACATTGTGTTAAGTGAAATAAGCTAGTACAGAAAGACAAAGACTGCATGATCTCACTCATACATGGCACCTAAAAATGTCAATTTCATGGAAGTAGAGAGTAGAACAGTGGTTACTAGAGATTGAAGAGGGAAGGGGACAGAAGGAGATGGGGAGAGGTTAGTCAGTAGGTACAAAGTAACCATCAGACAGGAAGAATAAGTTCTGACTCTCTACTGCACAGTAGGGTGACTGCAGTCAGTGATGTGTTGTATAGATCCAAATAACTAAGGCTGGGCACAGTGGCTCACACCTATAATCCTAGCACTCTGGGAGACCGAGGCGGGCTGATTGCTCGAGGTCAGGAGTTCAAAACCAGCCTGAGCAAGAGCGAAACCCCGTCTCTACTATAAATAGAAAGAAATTAATTGGCCAAATAATATATAGAGAAAAAATTATCCGGGCATGGTGGCATGCCTGTAGTCCCAGCTACTCGGGAGGCTGAGGCAGCAGGATTGCTTGAGCCCAGGAGTTTGAGGTTGCTGTGAGCTAGGCTGACACCACGGCACTCACTCTAGCCTGGGCAACAAAGCGAGACTCTGTCTCAAAAAAAAAAAAAAAAGATCCAAATAACTAGAAGAGAGAATGTCCAATGTTCTCACCACAGAGAAATGATAAATGAGGTGATGGATATGCCAACTACTTGGATTTGATTATTACAAAATGTATACATGTATCAAAACATCACATCATGTCCCATAACTATGTATAATTAACATGTGTTGATTAACAATTTAAAAAAATTTTTTTTTAAGTTCTATCTAAATAAAATTTTAACCAGATTCTAAATCCACAATACCAGTGAAACCAGTGCACGTGCTCACGAGAGACCCTCATCGTATTTCCTCCACTACCACCGGCAGCCTCCACTGGCGTTTACCCTCTGGAAAATGAAAAGTTTTCTGTTGTGCTCATATCATGCAAATTATCACTAGTAGGAGGGCAGAGAGCAGAAGAGTTCCAGATGTAGATGCCCATAAGATAAAGGAGCCCAGAGCCGTTAGATGCAGGAGCAGATGTATAGGGTTTGCCTGACTCATCCTCAAGGTTGCATAAGCAAGATTTCAAAATTAATCCTGCTCTGAAGACCTCGACCCAGTGTACAACGTTCCTGGCTAGAAAAGAAGAACTATATTTTTCTAATTTTTTTTTCAACTCTTTACCATTACTTGCCTTTGTATCTCCGCCTTCTCTTTCTGCAAGAAACTGTATTTCCTACTTCTGCATACCAAGTTTCTACCTCGAGATCTGTTTGGTTCAGTTGCTGAGAAACCTGACACACCAGTGCCGCCTGGGAGAAGCCATCCACCGGTGAGTGGTGGGGCTTTTTCCGTTACTTTGTGATGCAGAGAGACTGAAAGCCTCTCTCAGCTGGAAATGCATTCACAGGGCGCAGCCTGGGGGGGCTGCAAAGCCCGTGCCCTTGGGGGAAATGATCAGGAAGAGAGAAAGGGGTGTGGGGTGGCATGTGCACCAGGAGATGTCAGAGAGACCCGGAGGAGACGGAGGATGTGCAGGTGCAGCAGGTGGGAGTCCCCTCAGGGCTCAGGTGACAGGAGAGAGTGGGCAGCACATAATGTAAGGACAGCCACTCTGCTCACTTGCCCTCCAGACTCCTGAGGACTCACTTTGCTCCTCTGAGCACACAAGGACTTTAAAGAGCTGAAACTTTCTACCTTGAAATTTGTCCCCCTCTAATCCATAGACTGTGCCATCCAGGCCCTGGACGAACATGAACTTCTTGCTTCAACTCAGAGGGTCCACAGAGGCAGGAGGGAGGAATTTATTTTTCTGAGAGGCAGCGTTCTACCAGTTCTGGACTGTATGTCCTGACACCTGAAATGATATCCAGGTCAGCACGTTTCAGCCACCTTGCTGACAGTTTACTGCAGTCAGAACTAGTTGCTAGCTAGTTGTTGTCAAAATTAAATTCATGTGTGCACAGGATTTCGCACAGTGCCTGGGGCTTCAGGAGCACTCAGTTAATGACCACAGTTGTTATTCTTTAGGTGGTGCATTTTTTCCCCAACCTTAATCAGAGGTCTTATTTAATTTCTGCAGATTTTAAAAATATGAAATGTAAGACCTGTGAAATGTGTCAATCATAGGGCAAATGGAAGGACAAGGTGTTTAGATGGATGAAAATAAATTCAGTCACTACTAGCAAAAAATTTCTTGGGAATCAAGTCCTAGTGATGTTAGGTCTTATAATTCTTATTATCAGAAAGAGTTTTATGTTCTCATTCAGTTGAGCATTTATTGGTGCCTCCTTTAGCCAAGTAAGAGCTGGAAACAGAAACACAATGCAGTCCTTGACCTGGGGGAGCATGCAATGTGTAGACCATAACATGATAATTTATTGATATGCCTGCAGTGTTGTGAGGTAAGAGTAATTTGACAGAGCATGCAAATTAGGCTTCACAGAGAAGGGGAATTTAAGCAGGAGGTATTGAAGGATGAATAGGAGTTCACCAACTATTTCAGGCAGAGGGACAGAGATATGCAGAACCACATGAAGGAAATGGAGAGTTTGGGGAGGTGGAGAGAGAGTTTGTGGCTGAAGCACAACTGGGGATTGGAGAAGAGCTTGGAGAGGAGGCTGAGAAGCAGTGAGCTTGGGCAAGGCCTGCAGAGCAGTCTGGACATAATCTTTGCAGCCCTACCACATGTATGTCATGGGGCTACTGGAGATTTTAAGCTGAGAAGTGCACGATCCAATTTCAACTTAAAAGAAGACCAATTGAGGGAGAACCTGGCCAGGGACAAACGGTGGCAAAGGAAAGACCACAACCAAGCCAGAAGTGGGGAGCGTAGGCGGCAAGACAGTGGTGGCTGAAAGAGGAGCAGAGGGGATGGAGCTGAGTATGAGGAAGAGCTCCCATGACATCACAGGGACACAGAGCAGCTCTCTGCACCAGGTGCTGTGCTGCGTCCTTGTCTCCATGCATCTTCACAGCAACTGGGCGTAGTTAATATTTCACACATAAAGAAACATACTTGAAGAAGTAATTGGCCCCAAATTACACAGCCTGTAAGCTGGAGGCAGGACTCAAATCCAGGTCTGTTTGGCTCCAAAGGTTGGCTCCTAACTTTCTGAAGACGAAGGGACCCGGGAAGATGCCAAACCAGCTTCTTAGGCAGTGGAGCCAGTGACAATAACCACGATAAGGAACCCACGATCTGGAGCAGGTGCCGGGGAGGTGCTGAGTTTGGGGTGGGTTGAATTTGAGGGACCTGCAGGACACCCACTTTCCTCACTGCTGTGTCATCAGTGCCTGAGTCTGGCTCCTAGCAGGCGCCCAGCAAATATTGATTAATAAATCCATGGAGAGAGATGCCGCAGGCAATCGAAAACTCAACTCTGGGGCTTAGGACAAAGGTAGAACTTGAGGACAGGAATGAAAGGGAAGCATTGGCACCCAGGGGAGTTAGAAGTCTGAGATCAGACCACCAGATTCAGGAGAAACTTGGCAGTTAGAATAAAGAGGCAGAAGATGAAAGAGCTGAGAGCCAAGCGTGGTGCCTGGGGACTCTTGGGGCGTGGGCAGGGGAAGGAGATGCCAATGGAGGACATTAATAAAGAAGTGATCAGACGGGGCTCCCTCCTGGAAGCAAGCAGAGTTTTAAGTGGGGGGGTAGTTAGCAGAAGGATCACACGCTCAATGAGAAGGAAATTGGAGCAAACCCAAGGGTGTTTGTTAGAAAGCTGGGTTGTCACTGCGACCGTGGCAAGAGGGGTTTAGGCAGCGCGATGGAGGCAGGGTTGAGAGGGTTTGCAGTTAGAATGCTTTGGGTTCCAGGTAACAGAAAATGCAGTGAGCAATGGCTTAAAAGCAGGGGCTTGTTTTTGTCAAATAAGAAGTTATAAGATGATCTGTAGACTTGAGACACGGTGACACAGGGACTCTGCCTGGCTTGTCTCTGGCTCCCTGGGTCTTCCATCCTGCTCCCAAGCACTGTTAGGTCCGGAGCCCAGAGGGAGACACACAGAAGCCTCAAGCATAGGAAAATGCTGATTATTTGAGCACCCGGGTGCAAATGGGCGGAGGCCTAAAGAGCATCCACCACGAGGGAGGGGACAGCCTTGGGTCTTAGAGAGGGTTTTTCCTGGGGGAGCCAGCAACTGGGCCAGAACAACTGCTGTAATAAATTATTTTCAAACAACCAATCTCTGGGACCCCTGCAGAGATGCAGGGGTAGATTCATCCTTATGGGAGGGGGATAGGAATGCCAGCGTTGCCGCAACCCTCTGTGGTCAGAGCTAGATTTACAACCTGTGGACTCCCCAGACTCCTCGGCTATTGTTTCGCAGGCCTTATGATTGGTGTCTAAGTTTCCCATTAACTGCATTTCGTCTTCTACATGCTTTCCGGGCTCCCACCCTGAGCAAACCTAACAAGTACCACGCCTTCCAAGACAGGCTGTGAAAGCAGAAGGGGCAGGTGGGGCTTCCCCTGTGTCTCTCTTCTTAGGGAACAAGGGCCTTCTCAGAAGCCCCTAGAAGACACCCCTCAAATATGATTGTCCAGGGCTGAGGCACTGGCCCGTGCACCAGCTGCAGAGCAGGTAGAGAAAGTGGGCGTCTGGCACTTTTAGTCTCACAACTAGACTCGGGCCGGCTGGGAAGACAAAAGGTATTGGGAAGTGGCTGCTGGGTACATGGCTGGTGTCTGCCACTAGGAACGAAAGGGAAGTAACGAGCCAGCACATGCTTCAGTGGAGCAAGGCTATGTTGAAGACCGGGGATCGTGGCGTTTGTGCCGTGTGATCATGATTTTGTTCTGTGTTTGCAGAACAGAGGAAAATGGATGACAAGGACACATCTCCCCAGTTAATCCGCAGCACGTCGTCCCCGTATCATTCTCTGTTTGCAAGAGATGGCGACATGAACAGCGAGGAAGCCACCACCGTGTACGACTATGATTACGGGGCGCCTTGTAACAAGTTCGACGTGAAGCAGATCGGGGCCCAGCTCCTGCCCCCACTCTACTCGCTGGTGTTCATCTTCGGGCTTGTGGGCAACTTGCTGGTCGTCCTCATCCTGATAAACTGCAAGAAGCTCAAGAGCATGACGGACATCTACCTGCTCAACCTGGCCATCTCCGACCTGCTCTTCCTGCTCACCATCCCGTTCTGGGCGCACTACGCCGCGAACGGGTGGGTCTTGGGGGACGCGATGTGTAAGCTGTTCGCAGGGCTGTATCACGTGGGCTATTTTGGCGGCATCTTCTTCATCATCCTCCTGACCATCGACAGATACCTGGCTATCGTCCACGCCGTGTTTGCTCTGAAAGCCAGGACGGTCACCTTTGGGGTGGCGACAAGTGGGGTCACCTGGATGGTGTCTGTGTTAGCCTCTGTCCCAGGAATCATTTTTACCAAATCCCATAAAGATGATTCTGTTTACTTCTGTGGCCCTTATTTTCCACTAGTGTGGAAGAATTTCCATACGATTATGAGGAACGTCTTGGGTCTGTTCCTGCCCCTGCTCGTCATGGTCATCTGCTACTCGGGGATCCTGAAAACCCTACTTCGGTGTCGAAACGAGAAGAAGAGGCACAAGGCTGTGAGGCTCATCTTCGCCATCATGATTGTGTACTTCCTCTTCTGGACCCCCTACAACCTCGTCATTCTCCTGAGCACCTTCCAGGGCTTCTTTGGCCTGAGCACCTGTGAGAGCACCAGTCGCCTGGACCAAGCCATGCAGGTGACAGAGACCCTCGGGATGACACACTGCTGCATCAACCCCGTCATCTACACCTTCGTCGGGGAGAAGTTCAGGCGGTATCTCTCGGTGTTCTTCCGGAAGTACATCGCCAAACACCTGTGCAAACAATGCCCGGTTTTCTACGGGGAGACAGCGGACCGAGTGACCTCAACCTACACCCCTTCCACTGGGGAGCAGGAAGTCTCGGCTGGTTTGTAAACCGAGTAGCAGTTTGCGCATTGTTTTTGAGGGATGATAACAATCTGTATATAATAACACGCCTCAAGGGTTTGTTAAACAAGAGACCTATAAAGCAGTTTCCCAGGAACCTCAGGGCTGTGTGTACCAAGACAGACTTAGGTCACTCCTGCTGTGTCCAACTTATACTCAGGGAATATTCCAGATCAACTGTGGATAGAGACTTGGATTCTCCAGCATGCTCATCTCCACTCCTGGGAAAATGCCTCACTGCCTTGTGCTAATGCTCTTTTTCCAGTCTTCACTGTTTCTTCCCTCAGTCTCTGGTTCCATCAACCTCATAATCAAGGGCCCAGCTGGCGCTGCAGAGGACAACAGGGGACAGACAGACGGGAGGGAGGAAGGAAGGGAGGGGCAGGGCCAGGGCCAGGAGGAGAAGGAGGCTGAGCCCTGACACAGACGAGGGTGGGCGGGGCGCTTGCTCATTCAGCCAGGAAGTGGTGCCAGCCCCATCTCCCACCTGTGCTTATCTCTGAAGACTTCACCAGGTCGTGGGGACTTTGGGAACTGTAACGACCTTCCGCAAGTTTTGGTTGGGTCTGGTGATCCACTTCTGCATAGGTGCATGGCACATTTTTGCTTTATAATGGTTTATGTATGACGATCACACACCCTACCTTTGAAACCTGTTAACTAGCAAGCCTCGTTGTTCACGTGTTTCTCCAACCACATCCCCCATGCAAGAATTTAGAAAACCTTTGCTTATGAAATATGCATCATCTATGATGAGCTAAACATATATATATATATATATATATATATGCTCTTGTTTGAGCTTTCCAGGGAAAGGGGGAGGTTGGAGGTGGCAATTATGAGAAGGGGCAGAAGGCAGTGAGTTCCTCTGTAGGATCAGAGGATGGGGGGCCGTGGACCCCTTGCAGGTGTGCCTCTAGACTCAGCTAAGAGGGGAGCCCAGGAGGAATGTGTCAGAACCCCACAAAGCCTCCTGTCCGGTCTGAGCGGGTTTGTTGCGTGGCTGCTGTTCTGCCTGCCCACCCCCCTACCACTGTCTGTTTCCCCAAGGCCTTTATCACAGACCCCCTGGCAAAAAAAAAAAAAAACAAACACGAGTGTGTGCGGGTTCCAGAGACTTGAGGAGCATATGGCAGAAACCACATAACGAGAACCCCTTGAGGGTTGTGGGAGAGGAAAATCGACGGGAGGGGGCCCCGAAGCGAGTACTCAGGACAGAGACGCAGCCCAAACAGTAGTGACAGGCTCCTGCTTCGGAAATCACACATCTGGCCTGTGAATCTCAGTACCTAAATTACCAGGCAGGGAGCCCTAAATGAGGAAGATTTTAGACGGGTTGGAAAAAACATTTTCCAAACGACCTTCCAGCGCCTCGTTTTTCAATACAGGCATAGGATTCAGACATATTTTTAAAACAGTAAATAAAAGAAAGCTGGAAACTGCGACTTGCAAATGTGCTAAAGTATTATGTTAAGAGTTACTATCATGCCGAGCCTGGAAATACTGTATTAGTGCCAGAGGTAAATCCGGCCTTGAGCTAAAAACTTTGGAGCATATAGCGCGTTTTGGGAGACTGCTGAGTCAACCCAAATAGTTGAGTAATGATGTCATTTGGATCACAGCACACAGTCCACAGCTCTCGTCTGAGGTTGCCTGCCAAAAGCCTTTTTTTTTTTCCTTTAGGTACTATTATGTAGTCATGGGTTTAATCATATCTGAGTGTTTCAGTGCTTTGCAGATGTCCTTTGTTGATGCTCACATTTTCTCCTATTTGGCCAGTGGGAACTCTTAAATCAAGTTGGCTCCTAAGCAAAGCCTTTAAACCCCATTTGTAAAGAAGGGAAGTAGGAGAAGCTCACCGGAATAAGCAAAGTAAGCTCACCTCTTAGATGAACTAAGCTAAGGATGTTAAGATCTGGTGCAAGCAGGAAACACTGGGCTTCTCAAACCAGGCAACTTGGGAGCTGGAAGTTACTACGGTTCTACTTTCTTGCAACATGACTAGAGAATGTTCCAGAAAGAAGTGGGGGCAGAGGGGGAAGCTTCACCTTCAGATATTTTTGTATTATCCTAATGAACGGATAAGATTTCATTTTGGTAATGATGAAATGTAAATATTGGTTTTAAAAACTATGAGTTGGAAAATAAATCAATGTTGTAACTATATTGTTAAAAAATAAAAAAAAAAACACAAATATCTGTTTTGTCATCCTGTGGTATGGTAGATTGTGTTTGTTCAACATGTTTTGTTCACAGCTTTTCACTTCTTCCCCTATGCAACGACACACACCTGCCCTCGAGGTGTGACTTGCAAGTGTGACTTGCAATTTGTACCTTACAGACCACACACCGCAACCCCGACCGCTGCTGGCTTGTTGCTGGAATGGGAGCAGTGATGTCTGCCTCATCCAAGCAGAGCCTCTTGCTTCTGTCCCTCAGCTCATGCACCTGGTGAGCAAGAAGACACAGGGCGTGGAGCCAGGGCCACAGCCACATGCAACAGGAATAAGAAGTCTGTGTTTGCAGGGATAAGCCACCGAGTTTTGGGGGGTCGGTTGTTAGGAAGCACAAAAGCTGATCAACACATGTGGTGTATAGTGACTCCATAAATAAAATTTGGAAAAATGCCCATTTATCTCCCATCATGGACCTCAACATGGCAAGCAGCCCTCAGTTCCTACCATGTGCCAGACCAGGTTGGAAACATAGAGAAGGATGCTGATGCCCATGCCCTTGAGACCTCCAAGTCCAGGGCCTGTTGAGGGAGGAGGGGTAGAGAAAGGCATATGCAGAATCACAGTGCACTGTGCAGAGATATCTGTGAAAGCTTCTGAGAGCCCAGAGGACAGAGTGACTAACTCAGTGACAATCTTGCATCATGGTAGTAACAGCTACAGCAGGATTTTGCCGCTGCTGAAGAAACTGCCATTCAAAAGTTGCCAGCCATCTCCATTTCTAGAAGTAGAATGCTCAAATGCCCTTTATCCTGGAGTTAACATGTGAGCAGGCTGCCTAAGTGAAGCAGGTGTAAGGTGAGGAAAGGGTGCCATTCCAAGGGATGGGCATCTGAAGATGTTTTGGGCAGAGGAGGGGGCTGGACACAGCCCACCCCGTGCCATCCTTGATCTGTGATGCCCACAGCAGCGGGGGAGGGTGGGGCCCTGTGCAGAGAGGAGCAGCTGCCGGGGAGCAAGCCATCCAGACCTCATCCTTCCTCTTTTGCTTTCGCTCATTCTGAAAACTTCCCTGACAAATTGAAATGGCCTCAGGTGAGGTTAGCCAGCAGGAAAAGCCACCAAGGGCCACCCAGGGGAGGCACGCCCTGAGAGCAGAGGAGTCTGTGCTGGTGAGCTGACCTCTGCAAGGCAGCTCTGGGGGTGGGAGCCACTGAGGCTGGAAATTTCTCCAGACTTGGCCACACGGGTACTACGTGTGTCACTTTGGGAAAGCGTGTGCACCTGTGCGTGTGCGTGTGCGTGCAAAGAGCCCTGTCATGCAAGGTCTGTAGCCTTGGTGGCCCCAGCCTGGGTGCACAGAGAGACGCAGGCTGAGGACTGTGTTCGGGAAGGCCTGTACCTCCCACTGGCAGCCCAGCTGGCAACAGTGAGGGCATCGACTAACACCTTGTTTTCTACCATCTCCTACAAAACATCCCGATGAAATCCGTTCGCAATATGAAATTATCTTCTCTCTCTCTCCAATCATTGTTTCCACTGGTCAACTGGGTTCTGGAGGGCCCAGTCTAGAGGACCAGGCATGTTCTGTCCCTAAGCACCCCCACCCCCCACCCAGCTGCACCCTCCACAGCCCCCATAGTGGTCTGCCTCAGGGACAACTCCTGTGCCACCCTCTTCTAGGCTCAGGCTAGCGTTGAGATGGGAGGAGACGGGTTAGGAAAAAGGGCAAACAAAGGCAAACCTTATCTTATGGCACTTCACAGGGACTGCGTTTTTTACACACTGAAGGTTTGTGGCAACCGTGTGTGGACCAAGAGCCCTGCTAGCTTAGTGTCTCTGTGTTACATTTTAACTCTCACCATACGTCACACTTTTTCGTTATTATTGTTATACCTGATATGCTGATCTGTGATCAGTGACCTTTTGTCGCGCCCGCCTCGCCAGCAAGGAAGACGCGGCAACCGGAGTTCTTCTGACAGCGCTTTAATGGGGATTGCTTAACTGGTTACATGCGGAGACGCCGAGGCGTTCTCGGCGGCTGCTTATAAAGGCATTAAGTACACTGGGCATTGTCCGATTGGATAAGGCACTTGGAAGGGAGGAGACACTCTGCACATGCGCTGAGCACTTGTTTGTCAGACTAACAGCAGGGTTTGACCAGAGAGGCGCATCTTGGAATGGCGTTGCCACGCGCCCCACAACCTTTGACGTTACTATTGCAATAGGCTTGGAGCACCGCCACCCGTGCCCCCATCAGCCGGCGAACCTGATCCACGAATGTGTGTGATCTGACTGCTCCGCCAGCCCGCCGTTCCCCTGTCCCCCCGCCTCCCCCCCATGCCCTGTCACACAACAATATTGGAATTAGGCCATTTAATAACCCTACAGTGGCCTCTATGTGTTCGAGTGAAAGGAAAAGCCTCACATCTCTCACTTTAAATCAAAAGCTAGAAATGATTAAGCTTGGAAAGGAAGCATGTTCAAAACTGAGACAGGCTGAAAGCTAGGCCTCTTGTGCCAAAGGCCAAGTTGTAAATGCAAAGGAAAAGTTCTTGAAGGAAATTAAAAGTTCAGTGAATACACAAATGACCA